GTGCACATTCCCTGTGAACTATCTACCAAAATTAGTTATTTCTCAAGTGGGCGCGTTCACACATCGATTAAATCGATGGAGGTCCTCTAGTCTGTTATTCTTGTTGGATGCTAGTGGGCGTTCCTATTCTTTCGCAGTATCCAATTGTATTAGGCGGCAGGTCACTAGCTGCAATATTATTGGTTGTCACTGCATGATGCCGCTGCTCGTTTGCATACAGTTGAGTTCGAGGTGAAAAGGGAAATCGTTGTCATCGAAAAAAATGTGAGACCCCGATTCAAAAGATGTTGTTTAAAATCAACTATAGCCTTAAAATAATTAACAAACAAAATGACTAAATAAAGCTTCTAGTCCTCTGTTAATATGAATTTGGCTGCTCGTGCGTTGAGCAACAGGTGAAATAATCCAGTTTCTATTGGATTGGTAGTGGGATTTGCTTGTCGTTTCAGTATTAGGCTTGCTGCATCATGGGTCAATCCTTTAATCGCTTACTATTTTAAAGTTATAATTAACCACCCACTAAAATGGTGCAAATAACATTCACCTACATTCCACTGAACTTATTAAACCGTGACTTGAGTTATTGTGTCAATGCTGGGGTGATCTACTCTTATTTAAAACCATGACATAATATTTCAAAAGCAATGGCACATGGAATTTACTGAATTATTACAAGAATTGTGCATAATTAACAAAGCAATGCTTTGACATTATAAAATTTAACTAAAACGTTTTATTAGAAATCATAAATATCATTCGGATGTCCATGCTCTTTGAGAAGGTGCTGTTTGGGAGCCAGAACCAGAGCTGTTCCTCTACCCCAGTGCTGCAGTTTGTTCGGCACTGTGATGTTTCCTCTTGTGTCGCACCAGCAGCTGGCGGTCTGGTGTGGAATACTGGCACAGGTGACAAGGGAACGACTCTCCAGTGTGATGACGCCGTGAATGGAGGTCTAAGCTCTTCTTCTGGATGCTGAAGTGAAATGCAGAGCCTCATTGTTAGTTACAGATGTAGTATGAAACAAGTGTAGCCTGTCAACTTTATGACAGACGAATGCAGGTACCTGCTGTAAGGACAGTACTGGCAGCAGTAAGGCTTTTCTTGAGTGTGTGTCCTTAAGTGTCGGCGCAGAGAGCTTCTGTCAATAGAAGCATAGGAGCACTGCGAACACTTGTATGGCTTCTCACCTAAAGCAAGAAGAAAAACACATCACTGGAATTCTCACACTCAGGCAGTGCAATGTCATGGCAACTTTTCCATGAGAACCAGTCTTTTGAAAGGACTTCCACTAAGCTCTAAATCTCTGCATGTCACCATGAGTCGTCTACATTTCTAATTAAAGTACCATGGGAAAGTCATTTATTGGCTCGGCTCTGATCATAATTTCTGTTTAGTGACCAGGGCTAATAAAGGCAGGGGACAAGATGTGTCACTGTAATTCCAAAACAATGATCTATTGCCCCTGTACCAAATACGTATACATAAAAAAGAATGTTTGATATTAAAAGAAGATATGTGTTGTAACTGCACCTGTGTGGACACGGAGGTGCTGTATGAGCGAGGCTTTGAGACGAGCGCAGTAATGGCAGTGGGGGCATTTAAATGGCTTATCTCCTTGATGAATGCCCATGTGACGGCGCATTGTCATTTTGGTAGAAAACTTCCTGTACAGAGATAAAGATAAATTATAGAAAACTGACATTCAACGGTTATCTCAAAGGAAAAAGAAAGTTATATGGAATATAAAGGACATTTTTTATTTATCCAGACAGATACTACGTAAATCACTTCAGTGCATTTCCACTATAAGAATATTATACACTACAGTTCAAAAGTTTGGGGTTAGTAAGATTTTTTTTTTCTAAAGAAATTAATACTTTTATTCAGCAAGGACATTGGTCAAAAATTCAGCAACGGCAACTGACACTGAAGAGTGGAGAAATTCAGTTTTGCATCACAGGAATAAATTACATTTTATAAAACATTAAAACAGAATGTTGTTTTTTTTTTATAATCGAAGCCTTGGTGAGCATAAGAGACTTCTTTCAAAAACATTTTAAA